AAAAACAACCGTAGTTGGAAGCAGAAAAGTCGGAGCTCGATACAGACACGTGTTTACTCGTACGCAGAGAGAGAGAGAGAGAGAGAGAGAGGAACGGAGCAGGCCGTTTGATTGGACGTAATTGCATTGGTTATGACAAAAGTTCAAAGCGCCTCTTTTACTCATTGATTTAGTTCAATTTGCACGAGTAAGAATACTATGACAACACAAAGATCCTTGCCGATTTAGTTGAATTTTTTTTTTTTTTTTCAACACACAACTTCATTTACAAATGTGCATCTGTTTTACAAATTTATCCAAATGCACATGACGCAAGTAAAAAGAAAGAATTTAAAATTTTTTTAATTAAATTGACATTGCGTAGGGAAATGAGGAGCTGCCGCTACTACTGCTACAGCTGCAGATTTCTGAACTGTAGCTGTATTAGCTGTACCTTAGCCTGGTAACCGAGTAAATTCTGTACCGGGCTTAGCACTCTGCGAATTTGAGTAAAAGTGTGCGAGTGTGTGTGCGTGCATTGCATACATCTAAACAAGACTCCAAGTGTTTCCGCTCTCAAAAATAAATGAAAAAGACTCGCCTTAACTCGACATCAGCTCAGTGTTGAATTACTTTTTTAGCCTGTGCGCTAAAGAAGACTTTGCGCTATATATTACGGGTGTACGCTCTCTTACCAGCGACGCGAGAGTAAAAAAGTAGTTGAATGATAAAAAAAAAAGAGGAAAAGAAAAGAGTACATGCAGTTCTCTCGCAACTGTTTCTTTAATTCGAAATGATAATTGAGAGAAGAAGCTTTAGCCTCGTGATAATAGCTATATAAAAATATAGCCCGAACACGGGAGCGAAAAAAATGCACAGCACTAATTAGCTCGAATGCAGAGCGCTGCTACTCATTGCGTCACACGAAAATAGTATTCAAAAGGCTCCCCTTGTCACTCCAGAAAAGTGTGCAGTCGAGGGCAATAGGCCCATCAAAGAGCAATGAAACGAAGATCGACTTTGAAGTAATATTTAGAGATACGTTTTCTACGGATCGATCTTTACGCAGAACAGAAAAATCGTAAATCTCCGTATACGTAGGCGCTCGGCGAAAAATCCATGATAGGTAGCGTACGTCGCGCACTACTTGTTGCGGATGTTCGGAAGGGGGAAAAAATAAAGAAAAAGGGTAAAATGAAAAAGATAGCGAGAGAAAGATAACTATATATATCTATATGTAACATGAAGTCTTTCTCACGCTGAGCGCCCTTCTCTCCAATGATAAATCACGATGGGCATCAGCGATATAACAACGCAGGCGATGTGCAGGTGCACACAGCTGCTATGAGAAACTCCGAAGGAAAGGGAAGAAGAGCTGCAGAATGAAAAGGAGAAAGACAAGTGTTTGGTCCAGTCGGCTGGCCAATGGCTATGTATACACAAACGTATATCCGTACGGACTCTTACACGCACGCGCGCACTATACGTGTAAAACGAGTATGTGCACAAGTCGTACGAAAGAATTCCGCAGCGCCTCGAAGCTTTTTATTTTCATATTTTTTTTTTTTTTTTTGCACGCGTTCGACTCCGAATGTCGGGCGCGATACACGTACACGCACCAACGTTTAATTGAATATCAGCGAGGACAATCAATGGAATTATTCATTCACCAAATCTTCGCAATATTATCGCGCGGAGTCAGCCGCGCGCGCGCGCACCGCACTCGCGACAGAATTGATAATTATAATAATGGAAAACGGTATTTACCGTTGCAGCAGCGAAGTTGTTGTGGATTTTCAAGCTGTCACGCGCGCCCGCGTATAGCAGCGGCGGTGGCAGTACTACTGCATGTATAGCCGCGCCGGCAATGCTCGAACAGTTCATTTTGTGCGCGCTTGTAACGAGATTATTACATAGTGGATAGATAGATACATTAAGTGTATTAAAGTAGCACGTTTAAGCGTGTAATCTCATTTCTCGGGACAAGTTTGAGCGCGCGCGCACCAGCTCTCTCTCTCTCTCTCTCTCTCCCCCGCACACGTATTGTACCGGGAGACCAATTCATCCCTTATATTTACATAATTCGGTAACAGTTCGGGGGTGAAGGGAGTGCGCGCCATTTATGTATAATCTATGTAGGCCAGGAGTTGGAATAATAAAGTGAGTGATTTGTAACGGATTTAATAAGTTAGACCGCGCTTTAACTGATTTGAATGGCGCTCGGAGCATAGCGACGGTGACGAGCCAAAGTGAAAATAAAAAAGAAACAAGTTTTTTTATACGACGACGCAAAAGTTATTGAGACGTGGTATTGCTCTAACCGCTTTTCATAAAACTCTATAATATCGCGTATCGACATCTCGACAGAAACGATTAAATGGTTGAGAGGACAAAAATTGGAAAAACTCACATCAATTTTTCTCAATTTTCCTTTCTATACAACCGAGAGGCTGCACTGTTGCCTCTCTATATCATCTGACTAAAAAAAGACGCGCATGCCGAAGGTCATATTACCTCGAGCCACTATCAATTTTTTGACAACTTCATATAATATATAATTGCAGTTGAAAGGCTCGATTAATCATTTCGCTTTGTTTAATGCGCGATCGAAAGATTTGGATGGCCGATTCAAATGTGTACGTGTGCAATCCAATTAAACGATCTCGAAATAAAAGAAAAGGGACTGTATACGTGAATGCGATCCGGGTAATGCACAGAAGGCCTTGTTCACTTGGCGTTTTAGCAATTGAATGCTTACTCCGATATTCATCTGCATGAAAAAAAGCAAAATTAATGAAAGGGGATTTATTTCATGGCCGAAACTGGCTTGTAGCATCTAGATGCTCGTCGGAGCATGTGCCTTAGTGAATTTGTAAGGAAAAGGATTTTTTTCAAGCTTTTCCTGTAAAGTAAACAGTATTCATGTAAAATCTCAAACATTATTACATCTATTTTTTTAGTTCAGATTAAAAATACTTGAATAATACTTGAAACTTTTTTGATTCTTTATCTCGTCGGAAAAAGTAAATAAAAATATTTTTAGTGAAATATTGCCACGAACGTACATTATAAATTTTTTATGAATTTCAAGCGCGAAAAGTGTCGAAACAAAACTTACAGCGCATATTTTATGCATTTATAATCAATCGATCTGAACGTGCTTATTCTTATAAACTGGGTAAGAAAAGAAATGCAACGAGGGCAATTTAAACTTCAATCGTAACATAAAAGACCACCGTTAATCTGGATCAAACAGTAACAAAAAAAGCTCTCGTCTCGTCGTTGTTACGCAAATGAAGCCACAAAGATAAAAATGAAATGCCCCGATGAGAACAAAAAAGCGAATGGAAAAAAAGAAGCGGACAAAATATACAACTGCCGAAAAAAGTGGATATGTGTACGGGATGACGAAGAGAAAACGAGAGTATGCACATACATATAAATAAATGCGGGCTCGTGTTCCCTGTCTTCAGTTCGTCGATTTAGAGATTTAATTATTTTTATACATTTGCGGAGTACATACATATAAGTGGAAAAAAATAAAATGAAAGGAAAGAAGAGCCGATCTAGGGCATGTGTAATACGTGTCAAAATACAATTATTTTTTTGTTTAAATTGCACAATTCAATTTACAACATTACAATGTACAAATATGCAGTTCGTTTGTGTAGCTAGCGTTTTGTTACATAAAATTTTAAATTTAAAAAATAGCTTTATAAAATTTGAAAATAAATACGTACCATTTGCATTCTAATTTTAATTTTTTAATTTATTTACGCCTTTTAATTACAATACAAATAAAATTTATAAAGTGGGTCCGTTCCGACTGATTAACTCGAAGTAGCACTAGCTCAATTACAATTTATAATAACCGATTAATTAGTTCATCGCAATTTGCTCTTCATAGTTGGTGAAGGGCTTCGATATTAGCAAAGAAGCTTCTGTGATATTGGCCCTCGTGTGAACCTAGTTCATGAATGCCGCTGAAACCAACTAGCATCTTCTTTCATTCGCTCAGTCATGTCTAGATTGAGAGGCGAAAAGAGGAAGTGAGATGTGTATATGTAGCTACGTGTAATAACGACAAATATTGTTGAGAGTATCAAGAGCTTTTTATTGAGTTCCTCTCGGTGTGGCAGTCGTAACGTAACTAACTCGGGGAGAGGAATTTATTTATCTCCCGAGCAACAACAAAACAAAAGGCAATGTACAATCAATAGGAATATTGGATTGTACATGCAAGAACGACTTGAAGTGCGTCGCCGCATATATAAATTTTTTGTAAAAAGATCTTGTTATCAAAGCGAGCTGCATTGTTGAATAGTTTCAATAATGCCAAACTAAATCGTTCATTCAATTTATATTCTTTACTATTCAAAAAATTTATGAATAATGAAAAACTGGAACATCGACCTTCTAATAGATCAAGAAAAGTTCCAATGAAGCTGCGAGAACTTTGCTCGTTGACTCCATGTTTCAAAATTATCTGTACCATATTAGAATTTTAGCAACTAATATCCAATTTAAGTGGTATAATACCATCTTTATTCTTAGCTTTTGAACAAATATCACACTCAAAAAGCTTTTTACGTAAATTTCCTGCATTTATGTGACTTTTGAGGTGTTCCTTACGACCATACGATTTATGACACATGTCACATTCAAAGGGTTTGCCTTGATTATGTACTCTATTTGTGTGACAGTTAAGGATATTTTTGTGACAAAATTATTTGTGGCAAATATCACATTCGAAAGGTTTGTTGCGATCGTGCACTCCATTTATGTGATATTCGAGGTGATGTTTGAGTCCAAATGATTCGTGACAAATGTAACACTTAAAAGATTTGTTACGATCATGTACTCCATTTATGTGAGTATTGAGGTGACTTTTTTGTCCAAATGATTTATGACAAATCTCACATTCAAAAGGTTTGTCATGATTGTGTACTGCATTTATGTGACTATTGAGGTAACTCTTGTATCCAAATGATTTGTGACAAATATCACATTCAAAAGGTTTGTCATGATTGTGTACTGCATTTATGAGTACTGAGGTTATTCTTATATCCAAATGATTTGCGACAAATTTCACATTCGAAGGGTTTACTCCGAATATGTACTCCATTTATGTGATATTCGAGGTGATGTTTGAGTCCAAATGATTTGTGACAAATGTCACACTCGAAGGATTTGCTTTGATTGTGTACCGCCCTTATGTGTTTGTTGAGGATACACTTGTATCCAAATGATTTATGACAAATCTCACATTCAAAAGGTTTGTCATTATTGTGTACTGCATTTATATGAGTACTGAGGTAACTCTTGTATCCAAATGATTTGTGACAAATATCACATTCAAAGAGTTTATTACGATTATGTACTGTATTTATGTGATCTTTTAGGCGGTGTTTGAGTCCAAATGATTTGTGACAAATCTCACACCCAAAGGGTTTGCTACGAATATGTACTGTCTTTACGTGATCTTTTAGGTGATGTTTGTATGCAAATGATTTGTGGCAAATGTCACACTCGAAGGGTTTACTTTGATAATGCACTGTCACTATGTGTCTTTTCATGCTTTGCTTATGTTGAAACGATTTACGACAAATGACACATTCGAAGAGTCTACTCCGAGTATGGATTGATTTTATATAAGAAGAATGAAGGTGACTTTTTTGCACAAATGATTTGGGAAAAATTTTACATTCATATGGTCGAGTGCTTTTATATGTCTTGTGGATATGTTTTTCCAAACTAGCTTCTAGTTTATATGTTTTTTGAGTTGTACAAATATTTTTTTTTAATACTTCAACCTTTTTATATTCATGAATTTTCAATCGAGAATTTACTTGAAAATGACGGTCATTATCGTAATCGAATTCTTTTCTTATCAAAATTATTAGCCTTTTTCTAATCAACTCATTTATCTGAATTTGTCTTTCTGTTTTTACAATAGGTGAATCATTTTGATATTCAGTTTTGAGTATGTTTGTCGAAAGAGACGTCGATTCAGATTTAACATACTTGCATTCCAAATCTATAAAAACTTTTTCATCTAACTTTTCCTGTGATGCCATTACCTCATTTATATGATTTACCTAAAATTAAAATGGTGTAATAAGTTTTTTAGTTGAAAAATTAAAAGACAAATAAAATCGTTGAACTCACTGTTGATTGATAGACATTGAATGTATCTAAGTTTTTGACTTCGCAAAAGTCCACCGAGTCGAAAATAAGCTTATCGTCTGCACTCGACAATGCATCATATGGTTCTTCTTTTACCCTAAAAAACTATTTATTGAGGCGATCGCTAAAAAAATATGGCATGCTCAAAAAAGTAATACCTAATTGAGTCCTTTCTTCGTTCCATCACTCACTTGATTTTATATGATTACTTTGAATTTTCACAATTTGCACTGAAAAAATATTTGAGTTTAAACACCTCGAGTCGCCAACACGTACCTCGAAATTATCAATTTGTAAACACTTGCTTACTGCAAGAATTCTTCGCTAGCTACTGTACTCACTACTCGTACATTAGCGAGGTGACCCCATGATTATGAGAGCTTCCTGGCGATACTTCCCCCTCTACCATCGACTAGTTATATGTATTTCATTGGCCCAGGCACAAAGTTTGCTTACGAACACCTACGATTAAGAGAAAAAACTTTAACAGAAAAGAGCAATCTATCTCTGAACCTCTACTAAGACAATGCATAATGGTATTGCACATTTGATATTAGTAATACAATTTAATTAATCATTGGAGCTAGAGGTGTTAGTAAAATAACTACGGCTTCAAAAATTGATGGCTTGATTTTGTCTTTGAATATGAAATAAACGCGTTGTAACTGTTCGTTGAATTTGCGTAGATGGAGTACGATGTATTGAGCGTAAGTTATTACATATTTAATAACGTGACAATGATACTCATTTTAAAGCTAATGAAATTTTCTAGTGTGAGAGCTATCATACTTGCCGATTAATTAGCATGTTGACTCTATAATATGCGTTTCAAGAATACTAATATCAGTGATAATCTAAGTTTAATCATGTCAATCAAGGTCAAGAAAACAAATGAATACTTAGATAAAAAATATATATAATTAAGAATTTTTAATAATTATTTAATAACATAATTTTTAATGTAATCTGCAATCCTCTGAATGGTAATTTTCAAAATCCAATTTGAAACTTAACGATTTCAGTAATTTGTATACTTCAGTACATCTTATTCGCAAATGGTTCATGAAGGTTGACGCGATCCAAGGCAAAATGCACGTGTGCAGACTCTCAGCGGGGTAAAGATTCGGTTTTCAAAGAACCTCTGTAAACGCAAGCTTTAGACCCTGAATTTGAATGCCAGCGCGCAATACGTCAAAAAAGAGAGAGAGAGAGAGGGAGAGTTGAAGACGCAGAGTATGCGACATGCTATACAGTGCAAGTATATGTGTATATTATATACGACTTTGTCCTATTCATGGATATAACGCGAGAGACAGTACGGAGATTTCATTACCTCGAATATAATCAAGTCGACACCAAAGGGCCCCAGAGAGAAATTTGAGTATACGCATAGACTCGTCAAAAGTGAAGACCGTCGATGATTAAAGGATTCGGTTCGACTCAAAAATGCCGCCGTTTTCGTATACGCGCGCTCAAAGCAAACCTGCATAAAAGGCGGACATTTTAACTGCATTTCCTCGGCGAAGATATTTCTCGCACGGTGATACGTATAGTATAGTAGCGTCGCATTTCTATACTCGCACGCGCCGCTCCTCTCGTTTCCAATATTATTATCGTAATTTATCCGTTGACGCGGCGGGCCCCGAGAGCTCGTGTGTGTGTGCAGTGTACACCGGTGCTGCGAGCGCTACTGCAGCAGCAGCTTTTACCCCGCTTTTCACTATAAATCACTGGGGCGGGCTCGCGAGCACCAGACATTTTTTCCCTATTCTCTGTACGCGCCGGCTATGTCTGTAGATACGTACGTGCAGCATATCCAAAAGTGTTCGCTTTATACGCACCTCGAGTTTAGCTATATATATACACGAAGACACACGTACAATGGACCAAGGCTGCGCGCAAAACGAAAAAAGAAAGGAAAGATGCCATTTCCGTTTAAACTGCCCTCAGCAGATAGAGTCTGTACATGCCGCAGGTGTATAGCAGAGAAACTCCCAATGTTGGTATCTGTGAGCTCTCTCTCTCTCTCTCCTTTTCTCTCTCATTCCATGAGTCTTGTGACACAAGAAGACGTGAAATGGAGAAAAGAGACGAGTCCATTAAAAATACATACACACTGTGTGTGTGCCAGTTGTTCACCTTCTTCTTTTCTTTTATTTTCTCTTCGTTTTCTTTTGGCATCGACCGTACGCCAGTTTATTCGAATTTAAACGAAAATTATTGCACTGCATACCCTCTGCCGCTGCTGCTATTATTTTGGTGCGTTGTCGTCGAAACTCTAACAAATAACAACGGAAGAATATTAGAGCTGGAAAGCTCATGGGTAATTGGACTTGGGCAAATTTTCCTCGTGTCCATAAATGTATAACTTATATATTCGTAACTTCCTTTTTTTACCCTTTCGAGAAAGACGACGTTGTAAATCACGACGTCGACTCTTGGGTGAGGCGAGTAATGTATTACTTACACGCGCGACAGAAATTTGATACTTTCAAGGGGGGAGAGATATCCGTCAGTCTCGAGTGCGGTGCGATCGTTAATGATCGGTCAATTTCACCGGTAATTACTCGCCATGCTCATTTGCCCGCACTGTGACTTTTACGATCCTCGATGCACTCGAGTTCCGCACGGCCTCGCAATTGCAAGACTCGCGCGAATATTGCATTATCAGCTCCGAAATTCTCGGGAGCGAGAGGAAAGGCACTCGAAAACTTTTGCGCCCGGTAGCAGCGGCAGCAGCAGCGGTGGTAGCAGCAGCAGCTACACTGCAACCTTGTAAAAGTTGCTTGGGTGCGCATCAAAGAAAAACCGCAAAGCGCGCACGCGTCTATATATTTACCGAGAGTGCGAGCGAGCGAGAGCGAGAGATAGAGAAATTATAACACGAAAGAGCGGGGCGAATTTCTCGCGAAAAATCCACCGCGAGAACCGCAGCTCTCGACGCGCGACCGAGCTACAATACCTCAAAGCGAGATGCTCGAGCGAATCCTGGCGATACTCTTCGCTCTCTTCCTCCTTCTCCGTCGCACTCGCGCGCGCGCACGCTAGCAAGCGATGCATTGGCTCGTGTCATGAAGCATTCAGGTCGTCGGCTTTAAAAGACGGATAAGACACGCTTGTCCGGGGGATCTTTCTGGCTCTCTCTCTTTCTCTTTTGCTCACTTTTGCTTCTATGTGTGCGCAGTTTATACAATATATATACGTATATATATAGTGCAGGTGAGCACAAGCGCGAATCGTTGAAGCGAACTAAGTAAGGGGATATCCAAGCCGAGTTAAGCGACTTTGAAGGGTTGACGGTCACCCAAAGTACTCACTGCGAGAGAGGTTCAACTACGGGGGAGAGAGTGAGTGAGCCGGGCTTGAAATGATGCTATAAAGTTGAAGTACCATGTCAGTTTACAATGTAGATAACAACGCGACGTCAGGAGCTGCAGTCGTATAGTGAAATAAAAACCCTAGTCAGCCCGGCCAACGACCGTAAATGTGTATTTTTCTCTCCCTCTCTTATTTAAATGGATTTTGACCTTCTTTTTAATCTATAAAAATATGTTTGTCCGGTGCAGCCGTATTTATAACTGGCCGACAATTTCGCGGACAAGCGACTATCCGAGTGCAGTGGTAGAGCAAGTGGATCATTGAACGGCTACCTCAAACGAAATATTTCACGCTTGTCTGGGAAACTATTTTCCTCGTGCCGCACGCGCGCGCGCGCATCGTGTACCTCGCTCAAAGGAAGAATTCAAAAAGGTTTAACGCGTTGATTTTTCATAAATGTATATTTTGTTCTAAAAGTAATTATTTCCTGCTCTCTTTCCCTCTCTCTCTTTCTCTCTCTCTCTCTCTCTCTCTCTCTCTCTCTCTCTCTCTCTCTCTCTGTCTCATGCTGCCAAATTATAAAGCAAATAAAGGACGTAACTGCGGAATTTTCGCAGCAGAACAATTTCTCATTTAATTAAACGTTTTTAATTCTCGGCATTATTCTGGCGCGTCACACCGCGAACACACACATACGTATGTTTCCGAGCGAATTCCATGTCCGAAATCTTTACATACTGCGGACTGGGTGGGCACATCCTTCGCTAGTTTTAAAGTCCGCAGCTCCTGCGAAATGCGCTTTGCGCCCGAGAAAGAGATCGATGCGTTCGATAACCCCCTTTTATGCGTTCCTTCTTGCTTTTCCCTTGGATTCGCAAAAGTACATACAGCTCCTCGCGGAGCGGATGCTTTTAAACGACGTGGAGCTGTCAGACCGTTTAATTAAGGAATCTTTATGTAAGAACCTATCTCTTTCGCTCTCTCGTCTTCGTGTTGGCTAGTTTGTAGCTGATTTCGAGAGATTAATGAAGCAGTAGCTCGCGTATCTTTAAAAATAAAAGAGATACGTACAACCTCGATTGTTCTCGTTATTCTGCTTTATTAGCTTCCGTAGCTCACTCTTTCGACGCATACATTCGCATAATATACGTGCAAAAAAAAAGAAAAACAATACGTATAACGCAGCGGATTACATGTACTACGCATCTCTCGAATTCTTCTCCGCTGCTCGTCTGCTGCTGCTGCTACCGCTGCGCTGCTGCCAGTTTTCAACGAGGTGAATTTTGCTCTTTGCAGAGAAAATTGAAACTGCTTTGCATTTTTAGTCTACGAGTTGGGGAGGAAAGCGCGGATATAACGCACGAGTTTATACGATGTATTAAAGACGACGCTCGGATGAAAGATTAATTTATTCATTTGCACGCGGCTGTGGTGGTGCTGCTGCTAGTAGTTGCTGCATATACATACACAAAGCTGCAGCAGCAGCCTGGGCTTTATTACGCTGCGCTTTTACTGAGTATTAAGCTTTTCTTTATTACGCACGCAGTTGTTTATGCGCTCGTCTGAAACTGGCCGCCTTTTTTTGCTCTCTCTCCCTCTCTCTCTTTCTCTCTGAAGCATGCAGCTCATTAAATTATTTAGGAGTTAAATTAATGGAGTTTAGATTTGCGCTCCCTATTTATATATCTAAATAATTTTAAATTCACGCTGCTCGGATGTATATGCGTGATTGATTGCGTTTTAACGCGTTGCCATTTGGGCCGAGAGCGAAGAAAACCGAAATTTTTCCGAGGTTTTTTTTTCTTCCTCGAGTTTCGACCGCGAGAGTGCAGGTCAATTAATCATATGCGTGAATACGTAAGATTTTTACTGTCTCGCTGCGCCAAATTAGACGCACGGGGTACACGGCTTTAAACGAACGCGACAGTGATACGACTGGATTCGCGTAACCTCATTGGCGCGCATCATCA